GCCTCGGCCTGGCCTCACGCGTCGCCTTGGCCTCACGCCTTGCCTTGGCCTCATGCCTCGCCTTGGCCTCACACCTCGCCTTGGTCCCACTCCTCGCCTTGGTCCCACTCCTTGCCTTGGTCCCACTCCTCACCTTGGTCCCACGCCTCGCCTTGGTCTCACGCTTTGCCTTGGTCTCTCACTTCGCTTTGGTCCCTCACCTCGCCTTGGTCTCTCGCCTTGTTCAGGCTCCTCGCCTGACCTGCCCTAGGGTTTTTGGACTAGGTCTGTCTTGGAACAATCTGTTGACCACTTGGATTTTTTTTTGTTCCCTGTGTGTTTTTTTTGTTGTTGTCCTGGCCCCACTCTAGTGTTTCCTTGTGCCCCCCATCCTTGCAGTTCCTCCCTCCGCCCACCCTAGTTTTTTTTATTTTTTTTTTGGGGGGGGGGGGCTTTCTGGGGACGCCAGGGGGCGTCCTTGGGGGGAGGGTACTGTAAGGATGGTATCCCTCTGTCAGTCTCACTGTGTCTGTACTCCCTAGTGTCTCTCAGTAATTACCCCAATCAGCTCCACCCGCGTGTCCTCCAGGTGTTTGTATTTTGTCTCATCTAGTCTGTGTGTATATAAGCTCTGGTATGTGCCTCAGTCATTGTCGGTGCATCGTCTGGTACAGCCCCTGGTTTGTCTCCTGTGTTCTGTGTATTATTCTGTCCAGATCCTGTCTGTGAGTTTTGCTGCCACGTCAGCTATTTATTTTGATTATTAAAGTGATTATTATTTTACGTCCTGGCCTCTGCATCCTGTCTGCACATGGGTTTGTTTTTGTTCAGCTCAGCCTAAAAATCCTGACAACTCTGACTTTAAAGCTAGGAGTAAAACCATGTTTTGTGTTAGCAGGATTTAGTTCTAAATTTGAAACTTAGCCAACATTAAAAAGCTTACCCCAAGTTGTCTATTTTGACAGGCATGCATATATTTGCACAACTTGTACTTGCCTGTAGAGAGGAGATTATTACAGCCTCATATAAAATCAATAAAGATGATGATATTGGAATAATATAGGTATTGGCCGATATACAGATTTAGGTATCGGGATCGGACCAGAAGTAAAAAAATGTGGATCAGTGCATCCCTAGTTGTCAGTGCTTCTCATGGTTGCCATCCACGAGCTTGGTGGTGGACACCCTGGTTTAGGGAAGCTGTCAAGCTGAAGAAGGAGTCTTATCAGGCCATGTTGGCCAGTGGGACTCTGGAGTCAGCTGAGGAGTACCGGAGGGCCAAGCGGTCTACAGCCTTGGCTGTTGCTGAGGCAAAAGCTTGGATGTGGGAGGAGTTCGGAGAGGCCTTGCATGGAGACTCTCGGTTGGCTCCAAGGAGATTCTGGCAAACCATCAGGCGGCTGAGGAGGGGAAAGCAGCTCTTCACTAACACTGTGTTCAGTGAAGGTAGGATGCTGTTGACTGCAACCAGTGATATCATCAGGAGGTGGAAGGAATGCTTCTCAGACCTTCTCGATCCCACCAGCATGTCTTCCATGGAGGAAGCTGAGTCAGGGGACTTTGGGATTGGTCTCTCCATAATCATGGCAGAGGTCACCAAGGTATTTAAAAAGCTCAGAGGTGGCAGGGCTCTGGGAGTGGATGAGATTCACACTGATTTCCTTAAGGCTCTGGATGTTGTGGGGCTGTCTTGGTTAACATGCCTTTGCAACATTGTGTAGACATCAGGGCCAGGGCCACTGGATTGGCAGACTGGGTTGTGGCTCCCCTCTTCATAATAGGGGACTGGAGTGTGTGCTCCTATTATAGGGGCATCACTCTCCTTAGCCTCCCTGATAAGGTCTATTCAGGGGTACTGGAGAAGTGAGTCTGAACATTGGTTGAACCTCAGATCCAGGAGGAACAATGCAGGTTCAGTCCTGGCCGTGAAACAATAGATCAGCTCTTTACTTTCACTAGGGTCCTCGAGGGGTCATGGAAGTTTGCCCATCCAGTCTACGTGTGTTTTGTGGACTTGGAGAAAGCATTTGACCATGTTCCTCAGGGTACACTGTGGGGGGTGCTCCGTGAGTATGGGATTGGGGGCCCATTGTTACTGGCTATTCAGTTCCTATAAAAGTGGTGCAAGAGTTTGGTTCACATTGCTGGTAGTAAGTTGGACCCCTTCAGAGTGGGAGTGGAACTCCGCCAGGGCTGCCCGTTGTCACCGATTTTGTTCATAACTTTTATGGACAGAATTTCTCGGTGCAGCCAGGATGCGGAGGGTTTCTGGTCCGGTCCTGTTGGCATCATTGTTCCATGATCTTCAGCCCTCACTGGAGCGGTATGCAGCCGAGTGTGAAGCAGCTGGGATGAGAATCAGCACCTCCAAATCAGAGGCTATGGTGCTGGACCAGAAAAGGTGGATTGCTTTCTTCGGGTTGAGAGTGAGATTCTGCCTCAAGCAGAGGAGTTCAAGTATCTCAGGGTTTTATTCACGAGTGAGAGAAGAATGGAGCGTGAGATTGACTGACGTATTGGTGCAGCATCTGCAGTATTGCAGACTCTATACCGGTCCATTGTGGTGAAGAGAGAGCTAGGCTGTAAGGCAAAGCTCTCTGTTTACCAGTCAGTCTACATTCCCACCCTCACCTATGGTCACGAGCTCTGGGTAGTGACCGTAAGAATGAGATCGCAGATACAGGCGGATGAAATGAATTTCCTCTGCACAATAGCTGGACTCTCCCTTAGAGATAGGGTGAGAAGATCAGTTATCCAGGAGAGACTCAGAGTAGAACCGCTACTCCTCCACATTGAGAGGAGCCAGTTGAGGTTGTTCGGGCATCTGGTAAGGATGCTCCCTGGGCGCCTCCCTAGGGAGGTGCTTCGAGCATGTCCGACTGGGAGGAGACCCCGGGGAAGACCTAGGACACGCTAGAGAGAATATGTCTCACGGTTGGCCTGGGAACACCTTGGAGTCCTCCCAGAAGAGCTGGAAGAGGTGGCTGTGGAAAGAGATGTGTGGGCCTCCCTGCTCAAGCTGCTACCCCTGCGACCCGACTTCAGAATAAGCAGAAGATAATGGATGGATGGATGGATGAATACAGAAGTAAAGTTTAATAAATGTTAGGACTCTATTCTTTGCTGCCAAAATATATTTTATGCTGTTAAGCAACTTGTCAGGTTCTTCTCTTGTGAGTATGAGCGCCAACACCCCCCCCCCCCCCAGCAAGTTGCCTGTTATTTGTGTTCAAACATCGATCGATTTACATATTAAGCTCTGCACCCACCCAAACATTTGAACCAGAGACTTAAAGACTTAGTTTATTGATACAATATAATAGGTAAACCCTTCTTCAAATATCTTTTAATTAAACCTACAATCAAATTCTAGTTATTTTTCAATTTGTAAGAGGATTAAACAGTCTACATCAGTGTTTGCTGGTTTAGCCAACAAACAAAACCCGAGTTTTCACCCCCATCAGACTTGGAAGTCATGCAAACAAGTTTTCACATTCATCCACCTAGTTACAATATAGAAAGATAGATTTTAGAACAGCAAAAGCATATTTGTTAAAAATAAATAAATAAATCTGCTTTTTTACTATCGGTCTCTGGCTGCTCGCAGTTTGGAACCAGTCGCTTCGGCTAGAGTCGTTTTGTTGTGTTGCCTCTGCACAGCTTTAATGTTTAGTCTGCAGATAGCTATTGATTTGTTTAAAATCTTGACAGATTAAACTTTTTTTTCTCTAAAAGTATATATTTTCATGCTTTGTGCATTAGCAATACATTTACCCTATTTAACAAACCTGGCTGAAAAAAATCAACTATGCTTCAATTTTATTAAGCAACAGGACATGAAAAATACTTTTTACCAAAGTTTTAGAGACGTTGCTTCATCTGTCACTGACTATAAAGTTATGAGTGACAGGTGTGATTTATCTCACTAATAAAGGAGTTAACCTTTTTTTCTCACCTTCTGTTTCTCTGCCTGTTGTTTATTCAGTTATTCACTTTCTTTGGCACAGTTTCTGCTCCCACACCCACTCTGTCAGGTGTAAAATATGAAGTGCTGTCTGGATGTTTGAGCTGACCCACTGCTGTCTACAGCACATGTCTGCCTGCCGTTTGACTGACACATCAAGTTGTAGCCATGCGGCGGGATGCCATACGTTTTTATGCAGTTGACAGGACTGTTGTCAGGTCAGGGCTCTGTGTGTGCAGAACAGTTGTTCTTCTGGCGTTTTGGAGATTCCTGCACCTCCCTCTGTCAGTGAAGAGGTCAAGAGGTGAGCAAGACATTGCATTACTTTTAAAACAGCATTGATGCCATGTGTGGCATATCAGAACAGTGTGAATGCGTTCTTATCAGTTTGATAAAAACTGACTACCAAAATATATCTTAAAAACCTTTTGCATGCCAAAAGATGTCTGATTTGACCTTCTTTTGTTTTGTTTCATCTTGTACTTGATGTGGTCTACTTTAATCATTACCCAGTGAAGAGAGATGAGACAGATGACACTGCTGAGGTTGTAGACTCTTTCATTCCTGTTGAGTCCCAGATCAAGAAAGAAATTATGAGTTGGCATTCCTCAAGGAGGTGGTACAGGAACCAGGCACCTGCCCAGACACACACAACACTCTGATTGGAAACAGAGAAAAAGGTTTTCTGCTTCCCAAAACATGGCGTGTAGTCAGTGCCTCAGGGTGGTTGACAGATACAGAAACTCACACATGCCCAGGAGCAGTGTGTGTGTGTGTGTGGGGGGGGGGGGGGGTATGTGAATCAGTAAGTTGTTTGGCAGACCTCAGTAATATTTAGAAGAGAAGTATTTAGATGTAAATGTTTGTTAAGAAAAAATGTAATTTCTCAGGTAAGAAGCAACGGAAAGGAGAACTTTCTGTTATTCATGGGCTATGGTATACGTTTTACCTGTATTTCCACAAACTTAAAGCTGTTTAAATGTTTAAAATAAATTATTTAAAAAAATTCTCACTCATTCAAACATAAATTTTTTTTAAAGTTGACCTCTTTTGGCAGGTGGTTCTGTGAAGGGCGTGAGCTGCAAAACTCACCAGACATACAAATCTGGAGTGACGGTAGTCTGCACACCCTGGTGATTGCTGAAGCCTTTGAGGACGACACAGGACGTTACACTTGTGTAGCTTCCAACAGTCTCGGAGCAAACAATACCTCAGCTGAGGTGTACATTGAAGGTCAGAAGTAAAATTATTTTACAATAAAAGAAAAGTTGTATTATCTGCTAATTTTTTTTTTTTTTTTAATTTAACCTTTATTTATACAGGTTAGTCTCATTGAGCCACGAGAATTCATTTTCAAGAGAGACCTGTTTAGGGAGCAGTTGGGGGTTAAGGGCCTTGCTCAAGTGCCCAGAGTGGGGTGAATGAGGGTGGGGGCGGCTGTGGGTGCTTCACCTACCCCACCCACATTTTTGATGTTGTCAGTACCTGGGCTTGAACTGGCAATCTTCCGATCACAGGCCCACCTTCTCTAACCTCTGCGCCACCACTCCCCAAGTTTATATTTCCATTTAGGGGTTCGCACCATTGATATGGAAAAAAAAAACTTTCATAGACTTATTAATTTGGTATTTTACTTGTGCAAAATAAAATTATGCTTTTTTCAAACACATTTGTTGTTCAACAAATTGATAAATATCTTATCCTGATCCATGTGCAATAATCCAGGTAGAAAAATCTAACAAAATTAAGTCAGGTCTTCTGAACAGTTTATTTTGTTGACGAAATGAAATGTTTCACATAGCATTGCAAAAATAACATCTGCTTTTGTTTATGACCACTCACAGGGGCCTCGTCATCAGACTCAGAAGGAGAAGGAGCGGCGTCAAAATCAAGATCAGGAGCCATGTCTCAGTAAGTGTTTCTGTACCTTTGAACCCCATGAATGGGCACAAATTCTGGTCATAAATATTTTGTACTTATAAATTAGTTTTGTTACCTTGTCAAATAAATTTGTGATTTGTGCATGCCAAGATAGGAATTTGTATAAGTTAAAAAGATTTGCCCACTTCCTGTGGGCCCACCACCTGCAGGAGGGGCCATATAAGTCGAGTGCATGATGCTATGGGCAGTGGCCGAAGGCTTTGGTGCTCTGACCCTGCCTTACCAAAGCTGGCTCTTGGGACATGGAATGTAACCTCTCTGGCAGGAAAGGAGACTGAGCTTGTGCGTGAGGTTGAGAGGTACCGATATAGTTGGGCTCAGGCACTGCATGGGCTCTGGAACCAATCCCCTTGAGAGGGGCTAGACATTATTTCACTCTGGAGTTGCCCATGGTGAGAGGCACTGAGCTGGTGTGGGTCTACTTTTAGCCCCATGACTTGGTGCCTGAGTTATAGTTTTCCCCAGTGGATGAGAGGGTGGCTTCCCTGTGCCTTTGGGTGTGGGGACTGACTCTGACTATTGTTTGTGCCTACATGCCAAACGGCAGTTCAGAATGTCCAGCCTTCTTGGAATCCTTGGTGAGGGTGCTGGAAGGATCCTTTATTCTGCTGGGGGACTTCATTGTCCATGTGTGTAATGACAGTGTGAATTAGATGGGCATGAGTGTGAGGATCTGAATCTGAGCAGTGTTCTGTTGTTGGACTTCTGTGCTAGTCATAGTTTTTCCACCATGAAAACCATATTTGAACATATGGTAAATGGTAAATGGACTGTACTTATATAGCGCCTTTCTATGTTATTTCAAGATACTCAAAGCTCTTTACACTACAATCTGTGTCCTCATTTACCCATTCATACAGCACTCTACTGGATCTCTACAAAGCTAATGGAACAAATCATTCTAAAGAGACTAATCAGTGCTTTAGATCACATTCATACACTGATGGGACACACATCAGAGGCTATGAGGGGTTCAGTGTCTTGCCCAGGGACACTTCAGCATGTGACTGCTGGTGGATTCGAACCCCCAACTCTTGCATTGGAGGACAATTGCTCTAACCACTCAGCCACAGCCGCCCACAAAACTTAACTTAGAACTTAGAATCATATGGGTGTCCATAAGTGCACTTGGCACCAGGACACCCTAGGTCTTAGATCAGTGATTGACTTTATAGCTATATCATCTGATTTGTGGCTGTTTGTTTTGGACACTCGGGGGAAGAGAGGACCTGAGCTGTCAACTGATCACCACCTGGTAGTGAGTTGGGTCAGGTGGCAGGGGAAGATGCTGGACAGACCCAGTAGACCCAAATGTGTAGTGAGGGTTTGCTGGGAATGCCTGGCAGAAGAAGCTGTCAGAAAGATCTTTAACTCACCCCTCTGGGAGAGCTTTAACCACATCCCAGCTGAGGTGGGGGACATTGAGTCCAAGTGGACCATGTTCCATCAGAATCAGAATCAACTTTATTGTCATTGCACAGTTAAGCAAAGCAAAAACACGTTCCAGTACAGTTGTCCAACAAGGGTAGATGGAAATGCACTGAGGTTGCAGCTTCGCTGAAGTGCTGCCCTTATGCTTCCATGCCGCAATTGTTGAGGTAGCTGCCTTGAGCTGTGGCTTCAAGGTTGTTGGTGCTTCTCCTGGTGGCCATCCTCAAACTCGATGGTGGACACCCTGAGTTAGGGAGGCTGTCAAGCTGAAGAAGCAGTCCTATTGGGCCTTACTGGCTGGTGAGACTCCAGAGGCAGCTGAGGTGTAACAGAGGGCCAAGCGGTCCGCAGCCTTGGCTGTTGCTGAGGCAAAAGCTCAGATGTGGGAGGAGTTCAGTGAGGCCTTGGATAGAGACTCTTGGTCAGCTCCAAGGAGATTCTGGCAAACTTGCCAGAAAAAGGTCAAAAAGGAGGGGAAAGCAGTGCTTTACTAACACCTTCATTGAAGGTGGGGTGCTGATGGCCTCAACCAGTGATGTTGTCGGGAGGTGAAAGGAATACTTCTCGGACCTTCTCAATCCCACTGATATGTCTTCCATGGAGGAAGCTGAGTCGGGGTACTTCAGGGTTTGTCTGTCCATAACCATGGCTGAGGTCACCATGGTAGTTAAAGAGTTCCGTGACAGTAGGGCTCCGGGAGTAGATGAGATTCACACTGATTTCCTTAAGGCTCTGGATGTTGTGGGGCAGTCTTGGTTGACATGCCTTTGCAACATTGCGTGGACATCAGAGGCAGTGCCACTGGATTAGCAGACTGGAGTTGTGGTTCCCCTCTTTAAAAAGTGGGACCGGAGGGTGAGCTCGAATTATAGAGGCATCACTCTCCTTAGCCTCCCTGGTAAGGTCTATTTAGGGGTACTGGAGAAGCGAGTCCGATTGCTGGTCGAACATCAGATCCAGGAGGAACAATGCGAGTTCCGTTGGGACTGTGGAACACTGGATCAGCTCTTTACTCTCACTAGGGTCCAAATCTGAGACCATGGTCCTCAGTCAGAAAAGGGTGGATTGCTCTCTTTGGGTCAAGCGTGAGGTTCTGCCTCAAGTAGAGGAGTTCAAGTATCTCAGTGTTTTGTTCACGACTGAGAGAATAATGGAGCATGAGATTGACAGATGGACTGATGCAGTATCTGCAGTATTGTGGAATCTGTGCTGGTTCATTGTGGTAAAGAGGGAGCTGAACTTTAAGGCAAAGTTCTCTGTTTACTGGTCGGTCTATGTTCCTACCCTCACCTATTGTCACAAACTCTGGGTGGTGACTGAAAGACTGACATTGCGGATACAGGTGGTTGAAATGAGTTTTCTCTGCAGGGTAGCTGGACTCTCCCTTAGAGAAAGGCTGAGAAGTTTAGTTATCCGGGAGAGACTCAGAATAGAACTGCTGCTCCTCCATATTGAGAAGAGCCAGTTGAGGTGGTTCGGGCATCTGGTAAGGATGCTTCTTGGTTGCCTTCCAAGGGAGGTGCTTCGGTCATGTCTGACTGGGAGGAGACCCCGGGGAAGACCCAGGACATGCTGAAGAGACTCTCTCAGCTGGCCTGGAAACACAATTGAATCCTCCCAGAAGAACTGGAAGAGGTGGCTGTGGAAAGACAAGTCTGGGCCTCCTTGCTCAAGCTGCTGGCCCTGTGACCCCAATTCAGAACAAGCGGAAGATAATGGATGGATGGATGGAAAAAGATTTGTATTTGTAAAAAATAATTAACCCTTACACAAGTTGCAAAACTTTTTTTGCAAAGGTTTGTTTACAGTTGTGAAGTGATAAACTATGTGTAAATCTCTGCCTGTGAGTTTCATTTTACAAGTACAAATTCTGACCAGAATGTTCTTCCTCTCAGCTGATTGGTCAATGTAATGTTAATCACAAATTTAACAATCCAATCAGAGAACAGATGGGTTTGGCTGTCAAGGGGTCGGGGTTGGGGGCTTTACTGAGCTGCAAGTAAATCCTGGCAAAATGTGATAGTGAAGATGAGGTGAGTGAGATGACATTATGTTAAGCTACATTTAGCGTCAGTTGAAAACATTCCTGAGTTCATGTTGACAGCATTTAGCTTGTCTTAACTTTAGCATGTTTTCAACACTTTCTCATTCTGTTATTAGAGCTCATCCACTAGTTTTTATGATATAATTGTGGCAACAAAAACACAAAACTTAACACCTGAATAAAAAAAACCCACAAAGCCTTTGCCTTACTTTTGATCAAATGCTTGCTACAAAGACAAGTGTACTCCTGGGGCTGTCAGTATTTCCTTGTTCTTCACCTCCAAATGACAGCATTATTGATCACTCCAGATCATCACTGTGCGCCGCAATAGTTTGCCCATCAGGGTAGCTAGCGGGTCCCATGACTGAAAACTATCCATAGTAACAGAAAGTTATTTTCAGAAATATATATCCAGACAACAATTTTGTTTTTGTTTCACTAAACAAAAAGTAATACTATTCCAGGACTTACGGCTCAGTAAATCTCCACCCTTTGACAGCCAAACCATCTGTTCACTGACCGGATTGTGAAATTTTTGATTGAAATGGCACTGGCCATTCAGCTGAGAGGAAGAAAAATCCAGTCAGAAGTCATACTTGTAAAATGAAACTCTCAGGCATTTACACATATTTTTTTGCTTCATATCTGTAAACAGACCTTTGCAAAAAAGATTTGTAACTTGTGTAATTTTTTACAAATACAATTTTTTTACACAAACAAATTCCTATCTACACATGCACAAATCACAAATTTATTTTACAAGATTACGAAACTAATTAACAAGTACAAAATATTTATGATGGAATTTGTGTCTATACATGACCCAGTGAGCATTAAATCCCTGAACAGGTTAACTGAGTGCTCCAGCAGCTAACCAAGTCTGCTGTCTGCTTAACTTTAACCAGACCCTTAAAGAGACTCAACACTGACCCAGAAAAATGTAGTACGCATTCCAAATAATGAAAAGCTCACAGGGTTAATATACAACAAGCAGTACGCCGATGTCCCCATCACTGACGATTTTGAACAGTGAATGCTTGTAGTTTTCAGGATGGGTTTTTCCAAGTTATTCTGGACTGGAATTGAACAGGAATGCAAGCCTTCATGTTTCCAGTTCAAAATAGTCAAGTGGTAGGAATTACACTAAGAATAGTTAGATAGAATAGAAGAATAAAATTTTAGTTTTCTACATTCGCCTTGGAATCTAGCTTTTTTTTTTTGTTACCTTTTTCTTTTAGCCATCCTATTTGCAAAAAAAAAAAAAACTGCAGTATGACTTTTTATAATTGTTTATTGTTGTTGCTGTTGTCCATTGTTGTCATCTTTCTTTGTTGAAATCAGGTCTCTCTTGTAAATGAGTCCTCGAGGCTCAATGGGATTACCTGTCTAAATAAAGGTTGAATTGAAAAAACAGAGGAATAATAAACTGATGAATCCTGGTGAGTGGAGAACAATTTTATCCACAACCAGGCACAATTGCAGAGCCAGGGGGTGGCTACCCCAATCATTTGTGGAAAGTATACTTTTAAACTTGGCAAAAACTAGAAAGCATAGTCTCCTCAAATGATTAGGGTTGGCCAGTCACCCCCCTATACACACACACACACACACACATATATATATATATGGCTGGTGGTGGCTATCTTGTCTATCACTTGTATGAGTCTTCGAGGCTCAATGAGATTTATCTGTATAAATAAAGGGTGAATTAATGAATCTTGTATTTTGACATGACAACCCAAATTTTGATAGTCCTTCTTTAAACCTAAATGTAGCCGCACACCAAAATGGAAGTTGGTACTTCCATTACATTTAAAGTTATGCGCAGACAGAAGGATGGAAGGTATTTTCCAATTCTCTTTCTTTGCTAGACAATGAGGACAAAAGAATGCCCACGTCATGGTTGTGCATGCACCTTTTTCCAAATTTTAAATTCTAAGATTGAAAACGTCATTTTCTTTTTTTTTTCCTCAGTTTCTCCATTTTTACAACAGATCAGGTTTCTTGATGAGTAAAGTACAGGTCCTTCTCAAAAAATTAGCATATTGTGATAAAGGTCATTATTTTCCATAATGTAATGATAAAAATTAAACTTTCATATATTTCAGATTCATTGCACACCAACTGAAATATTTCAGGTCTGTAATTGTTTTAATACTGATGATTATGGCATACAGCTCATGAAAACCCAAAATGCCTGTCCCAAAAAATTAGCATATTCCATCCCACCAATGAAAGACAAGTGTTTTTAATACAAAAAATGCCAACCTTCAAATAATCATGTTCAGTTATGCACTCAATACTTGGTCAGGAATCCTTTTGCATGAATGACTGCTTCATTGCGGCGTGGCATGGAGGCAATCAGCCTGTGGCACTGCTAAAGTGTTATGGAGGCCCAGGATGCTTCGATAGCGGCCTTAAGCTCATCCAGAGTGATGGGTCTTGCGTCTCTCAACTTTCTCTTCACAATATCCCACAGGTTCTCTGTGGGGTTCAGGTCAGGAGAGTTGGCAGGCCAATTGAGCACAGTAATACCATGGTCAGTAAACCATTTACCAGTGGTTTTGGCACTGTGAGCAGGTGCCAGGTCATGCTGAAAAATGAAATCTTCATCTCCATAAAGCTCTTCAGCAGATGGAAGCATGAAGTACTCCAAAATCTCCTGATAGCTAGCTGCATTGACCCTGCACTTAATAAAACACAGTGGACCAACACCAGCAGATGACATGACACCCCAGTGACTGTGGAAACTTGACACTGGACCTCAAGCAATGTGAATTCTGTGTCTCCTCTCTTCCTCCAGACTCTGGGACCTTGATTTTCAAAGGAAATGCAAAATTTACTGTAATCAGAGAACATAACTTTGGACCACTCAGCAGCAGTCCCAGGCGAGATGCTTCTGACGCAGTCTTTTGTTCAAGAGTGGCTTGACCTGGGGAATGCGGCACCTGTAGCCCATTTCCTGCACACGCCTGTGCACGGTGGCTCTGGATGGTTCTACTCCAGACTCAGTCCACTGCTTCCGCAGGTCCCCCAAGGTCTGGAATTGGCCCTTCTCCACAATCCTCCTCAGGGTCCGGTCACCTCTTCTCTTTGTGCAGCGTTTTCTGCCACACTTTTCCCTTCCCACAGACTTCCCACTGAGGTGTCTTGATACAGCACTCTGGGAACAGCCTATTCGTTCAGCAATTTCTTTCCGTGTCTTACCCTCTTGCTTGAGGGTGTCAATGATGGCCTTCTGGACAGCAGTCAGGTCCCATGATTGCGGTTTTGAGTAATGAACAAGGCTGGGAGTTTTTAAAAGCCTCAGGAATCTTTTGCAGGTGTTTAGAGTTACGTCGTTGATTCAGATGGTTAGGTTAATAGCTTGTTTAGACAACCTTTTCATGATATGCTAATTTTTTGGGACAGGCATTTTGGGTTTTCATGAGCTGTATGCCATAATCATCAGTATTAAAACAATTAAAGACCTGAAATATTTCAGTTGGTGTGCAATGAATCTGAAATATATGAAAGTTTCATTTTTATCATTACATTATGGAAAATAATGACCTTTATCACAATATGCTATTTTTTTTAGAAGGACCTGTATTTGCTTCTCATTTGAAAATTGGCATCAGATGTGTTTTATTTTTATAAATACACTTGATTATTATCATCTATAAAAATCTGCCTCCATCTGTACTACTTCCTAGTTTCTGTTTCTGTTCCTATTTGTGTTTAACCCCAAAGCCAAGATCACTGATATTATCTGAATTGCTGCAGAGACAAACTAGAAGACTTTTGAATTAAGAAACTCAGTTTTTTCTCGGCATGCTCATTTATATTTTATATTTAGAGCGCAGAAAAAGTCAACTTCAATGTCCCTTACAATACGCTCATCATCACCCAAAACCTCAGAGGTTCTTCCGCATCGCTCAGCCCTGGTCCAGTCTATGTCTCAGCCTCCACAGCGGGTAAGGACCCACACCACATAGGAGCAGGATCCTCATATCTATGAAAGATTCTCAGTTGAATGTGTTTCGTTGTTTAGATGGAGAGCCCCGTGTTGTCACTGCATGGTGGTGAGTTGGCAGATCCCCCTCTGTTCACAAAGGTAGGTAATCTGAAACACACGGGATTGTAATTATTACTGCATCACATTGTGTAGATGGGATATTGCTAACTGGCCGCAGGGACTTGACAGCATTCCTTTTCATCCTAGAGTTCTCCATTCTTTATAGTTCTGGTGAAGCAGAGCTGCCACAAAGTTAAACCAACAGTTGTAAAAAAATTGATGTATCATTAAGCTTCTCCTTAAAATAAACTTGAAGACTACCATATAATTCAAACCATGAAAATATGAATTTATTGCATTTATGCTTGTATACGGAACATTGTGCACATATTCATCCACAGATCCTCCTGGCATGCACGTCTTTATACTTTCCATAATAACAGTACAGTGTTGTGGCTTTCAGCAGTGGGGGTCAGATAAAACATGAACTTTTACGAGAGCTCCTCCTCCAGTTCTAACTCCAACTCAAATGCAACTCCCTCTCCTCCATCTGCAGGTCTTGTGATAGCTGGACTGAGAGGGGCTGTGGCAAAGCTTCAAACAGTCCTGCCAAACCCACTGGGGTCAGGTCCCCTTCACTTTCATGCATGCTGTCAGGCCCTTAATCATTTTCTGCTTCATTAAGAAAAGACATTTGTTTTTCTTTCACTCCCACATCCAGCTTCTCTGTAAGCTCTTGCAGGCTTTAACCACACCACTGACACAAGTTTCACCTCTAAGGAGGCAAGCACCGATACAGCCAGACCCATCAGGCATTTTCCTCCTGAGCCAATGCTGAAAACATTCAATGAGAAATTCAGAGACACATGTATTCACACTGAAGCTCAGTGCTTCTTGTTGATAGCTGTCCCAGTTGCTGCAGGGTGTTCATCAGCTCCCATGTGTTTGTTTAGTTCTCCAGCACTTTTTCTTGTTGTGTGAGTGACTGAACTTTGGATTTTAATTTCTGGGGGTTGTGAGCAACTCCACTGATAACCCAACAGTTAAAATCACTCTGTTTAGACCGCAGTATACTCTGGAGGTTTCTGTATGATTGTCTGTGACAGACAAGCTTGGTGTCCCATATCTAAAATCACATTTAAAATTTGACATTTTTAATCATTTTAAATAGTTTTAATCTAGCTTATAATTTGTTTTAGTTGTTTGTTCGTTGATTGCTGGACATGGGCACCGGCGACCCCCGTGACCCAAAATGGAAGAAGCGGGTAAAGATTCATTCAACCTTTATTTAAACAGATAAATCACATTGAGCCTCGAAGACTCATTTACAAGTGAGACCTGTTTGGACAGACAAAAACAGTGGTTAACTAGACACATGTAGGAGTTGGAGGCGAAAAAAATTCCTATCAGACTTTTTTCTTGGCTGATAATGGATAAAAGATAATGGATGGATGTTTTTTTTTTTTTTTTCATAAATGTACCACACATAAAGTGTAAAATGTCATACTGTGTAAGATGATTTCAAACGTGCTCTACAGATAAAAGTGCCTTGTTATTTAAATACATATTATTCAAAGCCAAGTCTGAAAAAGGAGGAAATCTTTTTGCTGACTTTCCAGGTTTTTTTGGTTTGAGACAAAGTTTACATTTCAACAAGATAACGGACTGAATTAAACCACTTTGAAAAAAAGTGTTACCACATACTCCATCCATCCATCCATCCATTATCTTTACCCGCTTCTTCCTTTTCGGGTCATGGGGGGTCACTGCTGCCACTGGTTCTCAAGTCCAGATATCACTGTGAGAGAAGTGGGGGCCACCCTGGACATGTCTCCAATCCATCACAGGGACACATAGAGACAAACACTCTCTCACTCACACCTAAGGACAATTTAAAGTTACAAATCAGTCTAACATGGTTGTTTTTGATCTGGGGAGGAAGCTGAGTACCTGGAGAAAACCCACACATGCACGGAGAGAACCTGCAAACTCCACTCAAAAAGGTCCTGGGCCAGGATTTGAATTGGTGACCTTCTCACTGAGAGGCAACAGCTCTACCAATTGCACCACCGTGTCACCCTACCACATACTTATTTTATTTTAAACATAATGAGGGCCTTACAGCTGGAAAAGCATATTTGCATTTGAAGCATTTCTTTCATATCAGCCTCACATGCCAGTTTTTAACTCAAGTGCTTGTGCTACCTTAGATTGTGTTAGAAATGAGCCCCAGCTACTAACACAAAGTTTAGCTCAGTCTATCTAAAAGTGACTGAGTTATGGTTGATTAGCGGTGGTGGCCATCTTAAACCAGGTTGACTCCAAATGCCAATCAGTGATTACTTTCTGGAAGTTTCATTACAATCTGTCTGGTGATACAAAATATATTTACTAACACAACAGAGAGACAAACAAAAAGTTAATTACATGATTTCCCTCTTTTCATAGAAGTGGATAAAGTATTGGGCAAAGAGCATTTTTGGAGAGACCTACAGTACAAAGGCTCCACAGACTGCCAATTTGTGTTTTCCTGTTGAGAAAAATCTGGTTCAAAAATTTTAAACAAATGTGTGTTTTTCATGTAAAATCCTTCTCAGAAAACACTTCAGGTTTTTATAAAGGGCAAGGAACTAATCTAAATTGTTGTGTAAATGGACTGTTTTTGCTTTTTATTTGTATTAGAGAAAAACAAAAACAGCTGTTTTTAGTGTGTCTTTGGGGAGATTGTTGAGGGGAAACAGTTTTATATGAAACTACAAAAACAAAATGTGAAAATGCAAAGGGTCTGAAAACGTTTGTAAAAACAAAAAAGGAGCTCATGCAAGAGAGGAGTTATATTCCAGGATTTGATTTTGGATGCCCTTTCAGTTCAGCCTTTTTCTTTCATTCTGGGTTTTATGAGCACACAACCTTCCTCCTCCTCCTGTCCTCATTTATCTCTGTCATGTGCTTCCTCTGAGCAGATTTATCCTTTTCATGACCTGTTTCAGCCTTCTTCACTTCTAACAAGGCTGAGTTAGATTCAGTGACGGCTGGTATCAATGGGTTAGGAGGGCTAAGCCCTCCCTCCTGGCTCTCACAATAAACATATTAAAATAAACAACTTAAAAATAACAGCTTAAAAATAAATACATTTTAGAAATAATGTCACATTTTGTTAAACTTAATACAAAACTGGTGTCAAACCGCCTGGGGAAAATCCCAGTCTCGTTCCAATGGGCTAAATTCTGACAGCCCCATTCTGTTACTGTTCCTTCACAGTGTTGCCAGGTGAGAAATGTAGGATTATCGAACTAGAGATATAAAATTATCATATTTTCAGGGAAATCATCGTACACCAGTCATAACCAAAATAACAAATCTATTTATGCACTATAGTAGTGATGGGTCCGCTTCCAGACCGGCTCTGCTTCTTCTTCTTTTCTTTTTTCTTTTCCTCACTCATGGGGCGGGCGCAGCGGACTATTCAACCAATCATGGCTGTTGGTCTGAGGCAAACGCAAATACGTCACTCGTAGGTAACATTTAGAAATGTACGATTGGCTGGAATTTCCAGCCAATCGTACATTTGTTTGTGGACACAGATGCCTTCAGGGTTCACAAAAAAACTTGGACAAACAGTTGCGAGAGGCTGATGACAACCGAATACAACCACACATTCACGGATGGGTCAAATTATTGTATATTTGGCCTTTTTTGGGATTATTGTTCATACATCGTACAGAGGGCAAAATTGTCGTACAAATACGATAATTATCATACACCTGGCAATACTGTTCCTTCATGGTACAAAATGATTGACAGACGTCTTGCCATGCCCCCTCGGTTTGCGGCTCATTGGGGCTGATTTTGTTCAGCCCAGGGTCAGCCCACAGCCACAGGATTCATCCAATGAGGATGGACATACAATAACATGCCTCAGCGCGAGTGTATGTGGGTGTGGTTTGCTGTAGACAGCTGTGTAATGTGCTGAACTTGGCCGGATATTAATTCAGCTCGGTCCAAATAATATCAACCTGTCAGTTCGTTTTTATTTTTCTTATAGTTCACTCTGCGTTGTATTTAATGATGCCCAGAAGATGAGCGTTGAACTTAATGCTGTAGTAGCCGGGTGGTTTATTAGTTCAATGTAAAATTAGCTGTAAATTCCCACTCTTGGTTGGGCCCCTGAATGCACCATGCCTTGTTTCCCCGCCTTCACTTTCAATGTTGCTTGGCTCATTAGTGTCTATAAGCACTAGGTGTGCACGCCAAACGTTGGTTACGTACTGTAACCCCAGATTCTATGAGTATAGGCGTAGCCCTTTAAGGCTGTCACTGATGGGTTTTATCCCGTCATGCAAGGCATCGCACTGAAAAATTTAGTCCACGCCCACCTGTTGTGTGGGCCCCACCTGGTCCGTATAAATTACGCTAAGAGCGGGTAATCGGCTCCCAAATAGCTTTTTCTTCAGCCATTTAGGAGCCGGTGAGGCCCGACTCTTAAAGGGCTACGCCTATACTCATAGAATCTGGGGTTACAGTACGTAACCAACATTCTATTTCGCATAGGCTTCGCCCTTTAAGGCTGTCGCTGGTGGGTTAAGGGCGAAGCAGATGTGGTCCTCTCCTCACTGGGTCCATTCGAACACCATACGAAGTGGCACCTTGCCCAAAAACGTCTTGTCACTCAGCTCTCCATGTGCGTAATTACGCTTTGCGTAATTATGCGTACCATGCACAGACGCATGCTGTGTAGCTATGCATTCTAATGCATGAGCGCCCCGGAAAGTTTTCAACGGAGAAAGGAAGATGCTGAAAAAAGGTCGTGAACCAAACAGATTCACGGCTGATCAATATGAACAGATTAATAATAACAAGTGAACTGATTATTAATCAAATGAACTGATTGGTAACAATAGTCATGAACTGATTAGTGACAATAGAACCAGAACAAGAGTCACAACTTGTGACTGATAACAACATCTCACACTGTAAATG